GTGACCCGTGACGCGTGTGCCTTCGTGTGCTCCTAGTGTATTTTGCTCTCTTAGCTTACCATGGGCCTGGCGTGACTCCGCGCGTGCTTGTACTTGTGTGCTCGCAACAGTCTCTTTGTGCAATACTATCTTTTATATTGAGAAGCAAGCGTAGAACTGCCTTCGTTCTCTCCCGTGTGTGTTCCTGTGAGCGTGTCATGGGTCCGGGCAAAGACGCCGGCTACAAGGTGTTCTTCGCGATCGACTGGAGCCAGGCCTTCATCCAGATCCTGGAGATGACCTGGTACTGCTGCGACAAACTCTGGACTCTGTTCACCCGCCACCACCGGCTCATGGGTCGCGCGTGAACGGCCGTGGCGTAGATCTGCTGAACACTGAGGAAGAGGGTCTTTGGGGAATCTCAGCGTTCCTCCTTCCTCCTGCCTTTCCTTCTCGTGTCCATGACGACACGAAGACAAACGAGCCAAGGCTTCTTTTGCTCCCTCGCCTCCGCAAGTGAAAGGCGTCGAAAGGGCGCTTCTGCGGCCGCTGGTCAGAGAAACAGCAGAGGAAATATCAAGAGGATAATGAAAGGACGAAATACCTACTTGTGGCGCACTTTTCTGTTGGAAACCTGATGAAATTTCTCTATAGCGTGCTTATGTTATTCACTTGAGGATAAGTGTTTGTTGAGGAGTAGAACGAGATTATTGCTTATTATTAAAGAGCGTGGATCTCTCTGACTATATTCAGCCAGTGAAATCGCCCCATCGCTGTTACTTCGATACGAATTCCAGAAGAGAAAACTCCCAGAAAGAGGAAAGGAGGAAACAGGAACAATTCGCTTTCTAGAACATCCTAACTTTGCAAGGAATTATCAAAAATGTTGAAAAACTTGACCCTTGGGGGATGCAGAAATACCTTCGCTCGCCTGTACCCAAGGAACACCCTTGACGTCGCGCCGCCCTTGTGGAAGCCGCCCTTCTCCAAGCCGCCCTTCTCCTGGGTTGGCAGGAGGAGGAACAGGTACTAGCCATGGGGAATCCTCGGAGACGATTTGGCGCTCCTGACGAGGAAGGTCCCGCGGGGAAGACTGACGGCGGGCGGCTGGGGGTGGGCGCCGGCGCTGGCTGGGGCCGCGTGCCAGCACCGTACTTCAGGAATGTTTTTTCTTTTTTTCTCTCTCTCTCTCTCATTTTTTCTTTATGTTTGTGTTGAAAGGGATTTTGTGTGTAGATTTTGATCTCGTGTATTTTGAAATGTTTTCTGTTTTTCGAAGGCAGTTGTAGGTCAAGCTCAATTCCATTTCGCCGTATGAGGATGGTATGGAGAGAGAAAGAGAAAGAAAGAAGGAGAGATAGAGAGAGATAGAGAGAGATAGAGAGAGATAGAGATAGAGATAGAGATAGAGATAGAGATAGAGAAAGAAAGAAAGAAAGAAAGAAAGAAAGAAAGAAAGAAAGAAAGAAAGAAAGAAAGAAAGAAAGAAAGAAAGAAAGAAAGAAAGAAAGAAAGAAAGAAAGAAAGAAAGAAAAAGAAAGAAAGAGAGAGAGGAGGGGGCAAATAAACCAAAGCAAAGCCACATTTAGTTAGACCAACCCTTCGTGTCCGTGATTCAAGCGTTTTAGGAGCGACCCCCACTTTTACCATTTCGTGCACCAAATGCCTCCGGAGTTCGATTAATGGAGCGGAGAGATCAGTTTTGGATACTGTGATTATCTTAAGTGACTGATCATGCGGAGGGCTTGGGAGGTAAACGCTTTTTGAAAGGCTTGATAGTTTGATAAGTCTTTGGAACGTAAATATTTGACTGTTTCGATTTATGGCATTAATATTCCTTTGTCTGGTCCTTTTTAACTTTTTTTGTGTGTATGATTTGTTGCTGTGAACTCTTTGTCTTCTCTGTATGTTTTTTTTATTCTTTATTTCAGCTGTGAATTCATGATCTGCCATTGTTCGTGGCTGTCATTATTACCTCATCGCAATTTCAGCTGCAAACTTATTGTCTTGCTGTCTGTTCAATTTTATTCTTATTTATTCGTCATTTCATGGTTTCTATTCTTTTTCTCCTTCTTCTTCTTCTTCTTCTTCTTCTTCTTTTCTTTTCTTTTTTTTCTTCTTCGTCTTCGTCTTCCTTTTCTTCTTCCTCTTCATGTTATGATTATTATCATTATTATTATTATTATTATTATTATTATTATTATTATTATTGTTATTATTATTATTATTATTATTATTATTATTGTTATTATTATTATTATTATTATTATTATTATTATTATTTTCCTTTGCTCTTCACCATTACCACCACGCCTTGCCTATCCATCTGTACGCCGTTTATTACCCACATCGTCTTCCAGCCGTTTATTCCCCGCAACTAACGCCCCCCTTTTCTCTCCTCCCCCCCCAGGAACAGCGAGAAGCGGAAGGAGAAATCTCGCGACGCGGCAAGATGTCGGCGAGGCAAGGAGAGCGAGATCTTCACGGAGCTGGCCAACGCCCTGCCCTTGCCGGCGCAGACTGTGTCGCAGCTGGACAAGGCGTCTGTCATGCGGCTTACCATCGCTTACCTGAAGACGCGGGCGCTGTGCCATGCCGGTGAGTGCCATGAGGGTTTTTGTATGTGTGTGTGTGTGTGTGTGTGTGTGTGTGTGTGTGTGTGTGTGTGTGTGTGTGTGTGTGTGTGTGTGTGTGTGTGTGTGTGTGTGTCTGTACCTGAGGGGGAAGGGGGGAGGAAGGGATAGGGGTAGGGTGGGATGATAGGGTTGGGAGGGGGTGGGAAAGGGAGGGGAGGGGTGGGAGGGGAAGGGGATGGAAAGGGGAGGGGTGGGGAGGGGAGGGGAAGGGGATGGGGTGGGGTGGGGAGGCGTGGGAAGGGGAGGGGAGGGGAGGGGATGGGAGGGGAGGGGGTGGGAAGGGGAGAGGAGGGGAGGCGAGGCGGGGGAAGGGGTGGGGAGGTGAGGGGAGGGGATTGTTGAGTTATTGTAAAGCCCGAGACGACGAGGAGAATTATGCTGAGGGGAAAGGAAGGAGAAAAAGAGCGAGAAGAACCGGAGGAGAATAAAAGTTCGCGCACACAAAGCACTCCTCTGTGGCTCCAGCGTGCCGTAGGCCTAAGGGGAAGGAAGGGCTGATGAAGTTCGGGAAATGGAACGCGGCAGAAATGACATCGGATATGAGTGTCCGAAGTTAAGCGCGTAATTTTCTTGGCTTCGGGTTCAACTCTGTTCACTTCGAATAACTTAGGTAACAGTGTTCACTTCGAATTACTGAGGTAGGAATGTTCCCTTCGAATAACTGAGGTAGCAGTGATCACTTCGAATAATTTAGAAAGCATTATTCACTTCGGATAACAGAGGTAGCAGCGTTCACTTCGAATAACTTAGAAAGCATTATTCACTTCGAATAACTTAGAAAGCAAAATGGAACCTTTCCCAAATTAAGTTATTAGTCTGAGCCATCTGAGTAATTCTTGTCCTCGTCGTCGCCATCGTCGTCGCCCTCTGCTTCGTCATTATTATTACTGTCATTAGGAATGTTCACTGCACTTGTTTCGCTCTGCCTGGTGAACACTCGAGGGTTGGGGCTGGATAGAAAATGTTTTTATGTTTTATTTCATTAGAATTTATTGTTATTATTGTTGCTGTTGTTGTTGTTATTATTATTGTTATTTATTATTATTATTATTATTATTATTGTTGTTATGTATTACTATTATTATTATTATTATTATTTATTATTATTATTATTATTATTATTATTATTATTATTATTATTATCATTATTATTATTATTTTATAATTATTATTTTATATATATCTGGTTTATTTGATCTTAGAAATCATTAATTCAATTATATTGCACTACTTAGAGGTTCTTAATTAGATAATCCCATGGCTTTCGTAGCTTTTTCAAACGAGATAAAGTTAAAGTTAAGATCGAGTATGGTGCAGGTATTGGGACATATAACGGGCCTGAGGTGATACGTTATCGGAGGAAGGTAAATATAGGCAATGACTTGGGCGTTTCTTTATCGGAGATAACGAGTTGCTTCTGTTCTGTTGGAAGACTTGTGTGAGTGGGGCGCTTTTTTTCTTGTTCTTGTTCTTGTTCTTCTTTTTCTTCTCCTTCTTCTTTTTCTTCTTTTTCTTTTCCTCCTCCTTCTTCTGGTCTTCTTCTTCCTCCTCCTCCGTCTCCTCCTCCTCCTCCTCCTCCTCCTGATCTTCCTCTTGCTCCTCCTCCTGCTCTTCCTTTTGCTCCTCCTTTTGCTCCTCCTTCTGCTCCTCTTCTTCCTCCACCCACTCTTTCTTCTTCTTCTTCCAAGGAGATGGAAGGAGAGGAATATGGAGAGACGGGATAAAGAGAAGGGCGAGTGGAAAGGAAGAAAGTAGAGGGAGATAATGACAGAAGGAGAAGGAAGGAGCGATTGAAGGACAGAGCAAGAAAGAGAGAGAAGATGCAAATGCGAAACAATGGCGAAAGGACGTGGAAGTTGCACCGGGGCGAGCATCCCTACGCATTTCCCCAAGGAGCGATTTGCCTTAATCCGTCTTGCCTTCACCCGCCGCCCCTTGCTTGCACGCAGGAACATCTGGCTTGATATCAGGATTTGACTGAAATTTTGCTCCAACAAATTTAGGTACGGGATTTTTAAATTTATTTTTTATCATTTTTTTATTTTATTAATTATTATTTTTTTTTTTTGCGAGGGAAAGACTTTTCTTTTAGCTCTTATAAACGTAACGTGCGGTACCGGAAAGTTGTCTGCAATTTTTTTTTTTTTTTTTAGATATTTTCTCAACTTCTGGGACTATTTGGATTCTAGAGCAGACCAAGATGTAAATGGATTCTGCGATGATATGAGATGAGATGAGGAGAGAAAAGAGAGAGGAGAGAAAAGGGAAGAGGAGAGAGGAGATAGGAAAGAGAGAAAGAACGAGAAAATCAGTGGACAGTGCCAATTCACCAGTCATGGTTTTAGTGGATAAATAGTAGCTGTGGAAACCGGTGCTCATGCAAACTCCTACACTTCAATGCTTGATAAGAAGAGCCAGGGGGCAGTAGGAAATGCTTCTGGTTTTTATTCTTATTCTATTTTTAGGATAAAGTATATTCTTAGGAAAAGGCAGATTCAGGGATGCTTGACATTTCACATCCGATGGTCAGCAGCGCGTGTGAAATTGAGATTCGCCTGACATGATTATTTTCTTTATTTAGCGGCTATCAAATCTTGCCCTGCACTACGACCTACGTGCGGGAGCTAGCGACGCAGGGAAATTGCATGCCAAGCGACGACGGGCATTTGGGGTCTTCACTTTTTGTGTGTTTCAATGGGTCTCTCTGTCCCTATTTATTTCCGCTCTGTCTGTCTGACTGTCTGTCTGTCTGTAACTCTCTCTGGATCTCTCCCTCTCTCTCCTCTCTTCTCTCTCCCTCTCTCTCCTCTCTCGCCTTTCTCTCCTTTCTCTCCTCCCTCTCCTCTCTCCCTCACTCTTTCTCTCTCTCCCTCTCTCTCTCTCTCTCCCCCCCTCTCTCTCTTCACCTAGATTTATTTCATTATATATTAGCCCCATCCAACGTGGCGTTGTTGTTTTCTGTTCTTACCTTTGCTTTTTGTTTTTCTTCGACTTCCTCTTTATCTTCCTCTTTGTTTTCCTCATCCTTTTCGTCTTCGTGCTCTGTCAACTCGGGACGCCCTGAGGATTCGAACAGCATCTTCACCATCCATTGGGTGATAGAGAGAGGGAGTGAGAGGGAGAAGGAGAAGGAGAAAGAGAAGGAGGAGGAGAAGAAGGAGGGGGAGGGGAGGGGGAGGGGGAGGGAGAGGGAGAGGGAGGGAGGGGGGGAGGGAGGGAATGAGAGAGGGAGGGAGGAAAATAGAGAGGAAGGGAAAGAGAGAGGGAGAGCGTGAGAGTGAGAGAGAGAAAGAGAGATGGAGAGAGATAGAAAGAACGAGAGAAGAGAAAGAGGTGGGGGTGGTGAGTGCACATGAGAGTGAGAATGAAAGAGAGTGAATGAATATGTGAGTAAATAAGTGTAGCAGCAGGTCCACTAGAACTGGCTGGCTCAACCTTTGCGATAGTGGCTGTGGCGGCTGCGATAATTATAGTTCGCTGGCAGTCGATTCACTTTCTGCATCTTATCCGTGACATTTAGCTGAAAATTGATAATTTGTATGTCCGAGGAGTGTCCGTTGCGCCCGGGCCCACACTTTCTCCGTGGTGGTGTAATGACAGCGGATTTATGTTCTGTTCCTTTGTATGCTGTTGTGAATTTTGTTGCATACAAATGGCCTCACACATACAAGTCATCTATCAGTAGGCCTTAGGAGCCGCGCCTGGTTTCCCCATTCCTTGAATTTGCGGGAAAATGTGTTTTTATTTCTAGTGATATTAATAATGATTTTGTTATTATTCTCATTGATATTATGATTATTAAACTGTTGATAAAACATTAATAACATTTAATACATAAATAATACATATGAAGCTTTTCAAAAATCAAGGAAAGGGGTAAACAGGTGAGATAACTAGGACTAATAAATGACTCCTTGGTGACTAAACACTTGTAGAGCAATCTATGTGCAAAGACAAGAGATGAACTTAAATATTGCATTAGGCATGGCATTTACTCTTGCCAGCTGGGTTGATCGGGTTGATGAAGTTCGGTAGTTCGCTCGTTTCAGCCCGAACGTCGGTCAGTCATCGCGAGAGAAGGAGTTAGTGAGCCGTGGACAGGAGGAAAGCCTTATCTACGGATCTTGAAGGATGTTTGCGTCAGGGTTTTGTTTACGTCTTGCGGGTGGTCCGTTTTCTGGGAAAGTTTGTTTATATCGGGGCCTTTGTTTCCGTCGTTTGTGTGTGTGTGTGTGTGTGTGTGTGTGTGTGTGTGTGTGTGTGTGTGTGTGTGTGTGTGTGTGTTTGTTTTAGCACCTGTCTTAAATGAATTGTTTTTTTATAGCATCTGCAGTTTGGTGGATAGGGAAAGTTTAACGACAAGAATAGCATGTGTGTGTGTGTGTGTGTGTCTATGTGTTCGTATCGGTATGCGAATATTCGTGTGCGTGTGTGGGAGCATGCGCGCATACGTAATGAACATGTGTTTTGCTCGTGCATGTAGCAACGTGCACACGGCCATGTATTCATTGAAGCCCCCCCCACCCCCCCCGCCAGCCCCCCCATTCCTCTCAATCTAATAATAGAAGGACTCAGTGACTAAATAGCTGGGGAGGTGGAGGGGGGGGGAAGGTGCTGCCAAGGTGCTTGCATGCACGAGGAAGCGATCGTGCCTTTGCCTGACTGGATGCTATGCTGCAACCACGGCTCAGGCGGGCGATAAGGGGGGTAGGGGGGTGGGTGGCAGGGGGGGAGCACGTGTTTGGCGGCGACGTCTGGCTGGTTGGGAGGAAGGAACGGGGAGAGGGGAAATGGGAGATGAGGGAGGGAGAGAAAGAAGGAGAGAGGGAAAGAACGAAGGGAAGAAAGAGAGGAAGAGAGGGCAAGGAGAAAAGGAAAAAGGGAAAAGAGAGAAGAGAGAGAGAGAGAGAAGAGAAGCGAGGGAGAGAGAATAAATTTCATATCAGTATCGTATGTTATATT